GCCGAACGCGCTAACCGATTGCGCCACAGAAACTGCAACAATGGTGTTATGTTGTATTCATATCACCAATCCACACATGAGAAAATGTGTGTAATAAAAACTTCTACTTCGTCCCTGGGTGGGCTTGAACCACCAACCTTTCGGTTAACAGCCGAACGCCCTGACCGATTGCGCCATAGAGACTGCAACAATGGTCTTATGTTGTATTCATATCATGAATCCACAGATTAGAAAATGTGTGTAATAAAATCTTGTACTTCGTCCCTGGGTGGGCTTGAACCACCAACTTTTCGGTTAACAGCCGAACGCCCTGACCGATTGCGCCACAGAGACGCAACAATGGTGTTATGTTGTATTCATATCGCGAATCCACACATGATAAATTGAGTTTAAGAAAATCTTGTACTTCGTCCATGGGTGAGCTTGAACCACAAACTTTTCGGATAACAGCCGAAAGCGCAAATCGATTGCGCCACAGAGACGCAACAATGGTGTTATGTTGTATTCATATCGCGAATCCACACATAAGAATATGTGTGTAATAAAAACTTGTACTTCGTTCCCGGCTGGGCTTGAACAGCAACCTTTCGGTTAACAGCCGACTGCCCTAACTGATTGCGCCACAGAGACGCAACAATGGTGTTATGTTGTATTCATATCGCGAATCTACACATGAGAAAATGTGTGTCATAAAAACTTGCACTTCGTCCCTGGGTGGGCTTGAACCACAAATCTTTCGGTTAACAGCCGAACGAGCTAACCGATTGCGCCACAGAGACTGCAACAATGGTGGTATGTTGTATTCATATCACCAATCCACACATGAGAAAATGTGTGTAATATAAACTTCTACTTCGTCCCTGGGTGGGCTTGAACCACCAACCTTTCGGTTAACAGCCAAACGCGCTAACCGATTGCGCCACAGAGACTGTAACATTGGTGTTATGTTGTATTCATATCGCGAATTCACACATGAGAAAATATGTGTAATAAAATATTGTACTTCGTCCCTGGGTGGGCTTGAACCACAAACCTTTCGGTTAACAGCCAAACGCCCTAACCGATTGTGCCACATAGACTGCAATAATGGTGTTATGTTGTATTCATATCGCGAATCCACACATGAGAAAATGTGTGTAATAAAAACTTCTACTTCGTCCCTGGGTGGATTTGAACCACCAACGTTTCGGTTAATAGCCGAACGCGCTAACCGACAGAGACTGCAACATTGGTGTTATGTTGTATTCATATCGCGAATCCACACATGAGAAAATGTGTGTAATAAAATCTTGTACTTCATCCCTGGGTGGGCTTGAACCACCAACCTTTCGGTTAACAGCCGAACGCCCTGACCGATTGCGCCATAGACACTGCAACAATGGCGTTATGTTGTATTCATATCATGAATCCACAGATTAGAAAATGGGTGTAATAAAATCTTGTACTTCGTCCCTGGGTGGGCTTGAACCACCAACTTTTCAGTTAACAGCCGAACGCCCTGACCGATTGCGCCACAGAGACGCAACAATGGTGTTATGTTGTATTCATATCGCGAATCCACACATGAGAAAATGTGTGTAATAAAAACTTTTACTTCGTCCCTGGGTGGGCTTGAACCACAAACCTTCCGGTTAACAGACGAACGCGCTAACCGATTGCGCCACAGAGACTGCAACAATGATCTTATGTTGTATTTATTTTGCGAATCCACACATGAGAAATTGTGTGTAATAAAAACTTGTACTTCGTCCCTGGGTGGGCTTGAACCACAAACCTTACGGTTAACAGCCGAACGCGCTAACCGATTGCGCCACAGAGACTGCAACATTGGTGTTATGTTGTATTCATATCGCGAATCCACACATGAGAAAATGTGTGTAATAAAAACTTGTACTTCGTCCCTGGGTGGGCTTGAACCACAAATCTTTCGGTTAACAGCCGAACGCGCTAACCGATTGCGCCACAGAGAGTGCAACATTGATGTTATGTTGTATTCATATCGCGAATCCACACATGAGAAAATGTGTGTAATAAGGACTAGTACTTCGTCCCTGGGTGGGCTTGAACCACCAACATTTCGGTTAACAGCCGAACGCGCTAACCGATTGCGCCACAGAAACTGCAACAATGGTGTTATGTTGTATTCATATCACCAATCCACACATGAGAAAATGTGTGTAATAAAAACTTCTACTTCGTCCCTGGGTGGGCTTGAATCACCAACCTTTCGGTTAACAGCCAAACGCGCTAACCGATTGCGCCACAGAGACTGCAACATTGGTGTCATGTTGTATTCATATCGCGAATCCACACATGAGAAAATATGTGTAATAAAATATTGTACTTCGTCCCCGCTGGGCTTGAACAGCAACCTTTCGTTAACAGCCGAACGCCCTAACCGATTGCGCCACAGAGACGCGACATGTGTATGTGTATTCATATCGCGAATCTACACATAAGAAAATGTGTGTCATAAAAACTCGCACTTCGTCCCTGGGTGGGCTTGAACCACAAATCTTTCGGTTAACAGCCGAACGAGCTAACCGATTGCGCCACAGAGACTGCAACAATGGTGTTATGTTGTATTCATATCGCGAATCCACACATGAAAAAATGTGTGTAATAGAAACTTCTACTTCGTCCCTGGGTGGGCTTGAACCAACAACCTTTTGGTTAACAGCCGAACGCACTGACCCATTGCGCCACAGAGACTGCAACATTGGTGTTATGTTGTATTCATATCGCGAATCCACACATGAGAAAATGTGTGTAATAAAAACTTTTACTTCGTCCCTGGGTGGGCTTGAACCACAAACCTTTCGGTTAACAGACGAACGCGCTAACCGATTGCGCCACAGAGACTGCAACAATGATCTTATGTTGTATTTATTTTGCGAATCCACACATGAGAAATTGTGTGTAATAAAAACTTGTACTTCGTCCTTGGGTGGGCTTGAACCACAAACCTTACGGTTAACAGCCGAACGCGCTAACCGATTGCGCCACAGAGACTGCAACATTGGTGTTATGTTGTATTCATATCGCGAATCCACACATGAGAAAATGAGTGTAATAAAAACTTGTACTTCGTCCCTGGGTGGGCTTGAACCACAAACCTTTCGGTTAACAGCCGAACGCGCTAACCGATTGCGCCACAGAGAGTGCAACATTGATGTTATGTTGTATTCATATCGCGAATCCACACATGAGAAAATGTGTGTAATAAAAACTAGTACTTCGTCCCTGGGTGGGCTTGAATCCCTAACCGATTGCGCCACAGAGACTGCAACAATGGTGTTATGTTGTATTTATATCGCGAATCCACACATGAGAAAATGTGTGTAATAAAAACTTTTACTTCGTCCTGGGTGGGCTTGAACCACAAACCTTTCGGTTAACAGCAGAACGCGCTAACCGATTGCGCCACAGAGACTGCAACAATGATCTTATGTTGTAATTATTTTGCGAATCCACACATGAGAAATTGTGTGTAATAAAAACTTGTACTTCGTCCCTGGGTGGGCTTGAACCACAAACCTTACGGTTAACAGCCGAACGCGCTAACCGATTGCGCCACAGAGACTGCAACAATGGTGTTACGTTGTATTCATATCGCGAATCCACACATGAGAAAATGTGTGTAATAAAAACTTGTACTTCGTCCCTGGGTGGGCTTGAACCTCAAACCTTTCGGTTAACAGACGAACGCCCTCACCGATTGCGCCACAGAGACTGTAACAATGGTGTTATGTTGTATTCATATCGCGAATCCACACATGAGAAATTGTGTGTAGTAAAAACTTCTACATCGTCCCTGGGTGGGCTTGAACCACCAACCTTTCGGTTAACAGCCGAACGCGCTAACCGATTGCACCACAGATACTGCAACATTGATGTTATGTTGTATTTATATCGCGAATCCCCACATGAGAAAATGTGTGTAATAAAAACTAGTAGTTCGTCCCTGGGTGGGCTTGAACCACCAACCTTTCGGTTAACAGCAGAACGCGCTAACCGATTGCGCCACAGAGACTGCAACAATGATCTTATGTTGTAATTATTTTGCGAATCCACACATGAGAAATTGTGTGTAATAAAAACTTGTACTTCGTCCCTGGGTGGGCTTGAACCACAAACCTTACGGTTAACAGCCGAACGCGGTAACCGATTGCGCCACAGAGACTGCAACATTGGTGTTACGTTGTATTCATATCGCGAATCCACACATGAGAAAATGTGTGTAATAAAAACTTGTACTTCGTCCCTGGGTGGGCTTGAACCTCAAACCTTTCGGTAAACAGACGAACGCCCTCACCGATTGCGCCACAGAGACTGTAACAATGGTGTTATGTTGTATTCATATCGCGAATCCACACATGAGAAATTGTGTGTAGTAAAAACTTCTACATCGTCCCTGGGTGGGCTTGAACCACCAACCTTTCGGTTAACAGCCGAACGCGCTAACCGATTGCACCACAGATACTGCAACATTGATGTTATGTTGTATTCATATCGCGAATCCCCACATGAGAAAATGTGTGTAATAAAAACTAGTAGTTCGTCCCTGGGTGGGCTTGAACCACCAACCTTTCCGTTATCAGCCGAACGCGCTAACCGATTGCGCCACAGAGACTGCAACAATGATGTTATGTTGTATTAATAATGCGAATTCCCACATGATAAATTGAGATTAAGAAAATCTTGTACTTCGTGCTCTTGAACCACAAACTTTTCGGTTAACTGCCGAAAGCGCTAACCGATTGCGCCACAGAGACGCAACAATGGTGTTATGTTGAATTCGTATCGCGAATCTACACATGAGGAAATGTGTGTAATAAAAACTTGTACTTCATCCTTGGGTGGCCTTGAACCACCAACCTTTCGGGTTACAGCCAACAGCACTAACCGATTGCGCCACAGAGAGTGCAACAATGGTGTTATGTTGTATTCATATCACGAATCCACACATGAGAAAATGTATGTAATATCAACTTCTACTTCGTCCCAGGATTGGGCTTGAACCACCAACCTTTCGGTTAACAGCCGAACGCGCTAACCGATTGCGCCACAGAGACTGCAACATTGGTGTTATGTTGTATTCATATCACGAATCCACACATGAGAAAATGTGTGTAATAAAAACTTGTACTTCGTCCCTGGGTGGCCTTGAACCACCAACCTTTCGGTTAACAGCCAACAGCACTAACCGATTGCGCCACAGAGACTGCAACATTGGTGTTATGTTGTATTCATATCGCGAATCCACACATGAGAAAATGTGTGTAATAAAAACTTATACTTCGTCCCTGGGTGGGCTTGACCCACCAACCTTTCGGTTAACAGCTTAACGCGCTAACCGATTGCCCCACAGAGACTGCAACATTGATGTTATGTTGTATTCATATCGTGAATCCACACATGAGAAAATGTGTGTAATAAAAACTAGTAATTCGTCCCTGGGTGGGCTTGAACCACCAACCTTTCGGTCAACAGCCGAACGCGCTAACCGATTGCGCCACAGAGACTGCAACATTGGTGTTATGTTATATTCATATCGCGAATCCACACATGAGAAAATATGTGTAATAAAAACTTGTACTTCGTCACTGGGTGGGCTTGAAGCAACAGCCATTCGGTTAACAGCCGAACGCGCTA